ATATATATATATATGTATTATATATATGTGTGTATATATATAAATATGTTTATATATGTGTATATATGTATATCATTTCATTATATATGTATGTGTATAATTTTTAAAATTTTATTTTTATTATTATTATTATTATTTTATTTTTATTTTGTATTAATTAATATTATTAAATATTAGGGATTGATGATGTGGCAGATAACTAGGATGCCATGTCAGCATTAAATAATATATTTTTTCGTTCAGGGTTTTATTTGCCAATTTTTAAAAGTATAGAGTTTTAATTTCCAATTTTTAAAAGTATAATGTTTTTTTGGATAAAAAAAAGTGTAGGGTTTAAATTGCGACGAGAGAAAAATACAGAGTTTTAAATGGAATTATTTTTTAATACTAATAACTACTAGAGGACGGTTAGGTGTGTGTGTATACATATGTTGGTCAAAGTCTATTTATTATGTATTGGAGATGAGCTTTCCTGCCGTCCTACTTGTGTTCCCATCTAGAGAGAGGAAATAAAATAATTTCGGCCAAGTGTTTAATGTGATAAATGAAAGAGTTTTGTTATTGGGTTTTAAAAAGAAACCCAACGCATATATATAATGTCTCCAATCGGCCGATGAACAATTTGAATCAATTCAGTAGCTAGTTTGTAATGAGTTTGATGTTTAATTTAGTTAATTTATAGTTTATGGTCCATTAAAAGCATTTGTAAGCCCAATTAAATATTGAAGATGCAAAAATTATTTCACAAAACCTTACACTTTCTCCCATTTTCTCGGCTCCCAAACACCTTTTTTATGAGTTTTTAAATGATATTAATCTCTTTGGATTCACCTATTGAAAATTTTCGAGATCTTGAAGAATATTACGAGATATATCGTATAATGAAGATCTTATCAAATCCAGAAAATATATATTTAGAAATATTTATTATTATGTCTAATTTACTTATTCAATATAAGACTCTCATTTATTTATATGTTATTTTGATTATCAATAAAAATATAATTCCGCAAATTTCTACGGTAAGTCTATACATACAAAATGTTGTATAATTGTAAAACCATGAATTTATGTTTTTTTTTGTGTTAATTAACTATTGTTTTTTACGGTTGAAAAGTATAAAGAAAGACCGGCGAATACAATAAACAAGGACCGACATTATTTAAAGACTGGCATTCAATGATTGATGAGATAGCCTCAACCAGGAAGGAAAAGAACCCAAAAAAAAAAAAAAAAAAAAAAAAAAAAAAAAAACATAGATCGTCATCAATGTAGCTGCATAAGTGCATATAGATCGTCATCAATAGGTTGCATAAGTGCATATAGGTCCAGTAATGCATGCATACACTTGCATAAGATCTAGCGTTCAATAATTAGTTAAAGACTTTGACTTTATGATTTTTTTTTCCGCCACTACAAAATCGCCAATCTCATCTTCTCTCTTACAAGATTTTCTCCCTATTACCTTCGAGATCGTTCAAAATATCTTCGCCTAGTGGTAATATTCTTCTCTCCCACAAGATTTCTGACGTTTTATTATAGTTTTTTAAGTTCATGATTCATAACCAAGTGTTGATTTTTCCCATTACATATGTGACGAATCTTATCCGATATCGCAACAGGGGTAACAAAAAGAGGAAAAGCATGGGAGATTTGGCAACGTTGTCCGGTTCGCAGGCGGCGGCATACAAGGAAGCCCGGCCGACGTACCCAAGCTCTTGGTACAAGATGCTGTCCGAGAAAACCGCTTACCATGAACGTGCTTGGGATGTCGGCACCGGCAACGGTCAGGCCGCTCTCGGGGTTAGGTTCTTTACCACAATCCGTTTTGTCTCAATCATACGATTAGAATTATTGGCATATTATCTTCGTGTATATATATATATACACACATATATAGATATAGTGTATACTCGTAAATGTAAAATCTTGTCAATAGTATCTTTTTGTTTATGATTTTATTCGAATATTTGGTCCGATGAGTCCATTTGTCTGTCTGAATAACCCATTTTCCGATATAGGTTGCTGACTACTACAATAACGTGGTGGCGACCGATATTAACCAAGCTCAACTGAATCAGGCCACAAAGCACCCAAAGGTTACATACCTCCTGACACCTGAATCGATGTCCGAGAACGAGCTCGTGGCTATGGTCGGTGGCGAAAACTCCGTGGATCTCGTGACTGTGGCTCAAGCTCTGCACTACTTCGATCTCGACAAGTTCTACGCGGTCGTCAAACGCGTACTGCGAAAGCCGGGAGGCGTGATCGCGGTCTGGGTCTTCAACGAAATCGTCGTATCTCCCCCGGTGGACCGCGTGTTCGAGCGCCTCTCCGACTCTACGGTCCCTTACAGAACCCCAAGAACCGACATGGCGTTGGCCGGTTACAGAACTATATCGTTTCCTTTCGAAAGCGTCGGGATTGGTTCCGAAGGGAATTCTTTGCCCCTAGACCTTCCTTGGAAGTTATCGCTGGACGGGTTCTTGGCTTACCTGAGATCATGGCAGCTCGTTGTGAAGGCGAAACAACAAGGGGTGGATTTGTTGCCGGCAAGTTTGATCGATGAGTTCAAAGCTGCTTGGGGATCAAACCCTGTTAAGACAGTTGTCTATAAATTCTTCATGATCGCCGGAAAATGCAAATCTAGTGATTTTGATTACCCGTTTGGACCTCCCGGAGGACAAAACTGGCCGCCATTTCCTTTTCCTCCTCCTCCGTTTCCGCCACCGTTTGACTTCAATCATATGCCACCGCCGCCTTTCCCACCACCGCCGCCATTTGCCTATGGAAACATGCCACCGCCGCCTTTTCCACCACCGCCGCCATTTGGCAGTGGAAACATGCCGCCGCCTCCTCCTTTTCCGCCTGGAGGATTTCCACCGTTCCCGTTTCCGTTTGGTAACTGAGATCACCAAAAGAGACACGTGGGTCTATCTATGGGTGGAATGAAAATAGTTGTTAGTTCCCTGCAGCCTATGTAATAATAGAGGTTACTGAAACCGACCGATCGTGGATGATCCTAAAGCTGAAATTAAGTGTGTGAGTTTATATCATGAAGTGGTTTTTGTGAGTTTGATGTCTGGAATTAAAAGTAAGAAAAATGAAATTGTACTCTTGCACAAACGTCTTATTGTTGTTATATAAATTTACTGGGCCACTCTACAACTTCAAGATGTTCATCTTCCGAAAGTTCATAGAATCTGTAAGTTCGAGTTTGCATCCTTAACCAATTAGCAATTATCAGAACAGAAGCATATAGTTAGTATATAGTGGTGCACGTTTATTTAGTTTATCCTTCTTACAACCATATTTGACCGCCATTACATAGAGCACAGAACTCAGAATATATATACCAAAGTACTTATAGTTCGGTAGTAACTAGGTTTCCATGTTTATCCATCTAGTAGGAAGAAACTGTTTCACCTTTTATTTTTATTTTTTCATTTTTATCTTTTATTTCTGTCTTTCAACAAGTTCCAATCCAAGTTCCTCTCCCACAGTGTTGGAGCTAGAGGAAGAGGGCCGGAAGTAAAAGGGTGGCGATAGCCCCTGCCAAATCTTCTGTGTCTTCATCACTGTCTTCCTCACTGTCTTCATCAGATGTTTCACCATCTTCTTCAGAGGATTCAGAATCTTCCGAGCAAGTTCCCGCTATCATGAAGAATTTGTACACAACGTCTCTAACCTGGTTTCGACCTCCCCACGCATCTTCAAGATCACGCATCACTCGTTTCGTCAATAAATCTTTCCCCTTTTCCTTTGCCTTCACGACAAGTTGCCACGACTTGAGATAATTCTCAAACGCTTCAAGCGAAAGCCTGCTACGAAGCTTGAGCGGATGCGATTTCCCCTCGGACCCGATACCGACGCTCTTGAAAGGAAAAGGCATAGTATTGTAACCAGCCAAGGCCATGTTCGTTCTACCGTTCCTAAAAGGGATCGTAGCGTCGGATATGCGTCGGAAGACTTTGTCGATGGCAGGCGAGATGGCTATCTCGTTGAACACCCACACGGCGATAACGCCACCCGGCTTGCGCAGAACACGTCGGACGACATTGTAGAACTTTTCGAGGTCGAAGTAGTGAACCGCTTGTGCGGCGGTCACGAGGTCGACCGAGTCATCTCCGCCGACCAGATCCACCAGCTCATCCTCGGACATGTGTTGTGGGGTTAAATAGTACTTAACTCGCCGGTGGCGCATAGCCCGTGTCAGCTGCTCCTTGTTGATATCGGTCGCAACCACACGCTTATAGTGCTCGGCCACCTAGAGGTAATAAGATGGAATAATATTTTGTTTAAAATTATTCCCAGGGGTTTGTGAATAATTAATGTATGTATGTATGTATGTATGTATGTATGTATGTATGTATGTATGTATGTATGTATGTATGTATGTATGTATGTATGTATGTATGTATGTATGTATGTATGTATGTATGTATGTATGTATGTATGTATGTATGTATGTATGTATGTATGTATGTATGTATGTATGTATGTATGTATGTATGTATGTATGAATATAATTAAATTTTCTTGCTTGTTATGAACCACGTACGTACGTCTGAATCTTGAATTCTAATACATACATAAATATAAACACAAGTACATATGAGCAGAAAATGTTCTTCTTCAATTGAAATCAGTATATACAATTTTCGTAGCATTTGGCATTTGATGGTGCAGGCTCCATAAAACTGTATTTTATTTATTTATAAATTTATGTTGAAATGTTAATAAATATGATTTTAGTTGTTACGATTATTGATACTACGGCTTCATTAAAAGAAATGAAATTAATTGAGTGGATATATATATACATATAGGATTTATATATACAGACCCCAATTGCGGCCTGGCCATTTCCGGTGCCAACATCCCATGCACGTTCGTGCATGGCTGTTTTCCCCGCAAGCATCTTGAACCAGGAGCGAGGGTAAGTTGGCCTTGCGTCCCTATACGCACCTGCTTGTGCTTCAGACAAAGTCGATAAACTTCCCATGTCTTAATTATTTCCCCTCTGTTATGTTTGTTTTTCTTTTGCTGCATATATAGTTGAAGTGGAAGATATTTGGACACATACACACACACACACACATATATATATATATATATATATATATATATATATATATATATATCGAAAAAGGTCTTTGAAATGTGAATGATGCTTATGAGGACCACAGATGGATTACAGATAAAAATGGAACTTGTCCGAGATTCTTCTAAGGTGAAATGGTTTCTGTCCACTCAAGTAAGTTATGTTCTTTTGTTCCATTACCCAAAAAAAAAAAAAGTTATGTTCTTTTGTTCCTTCTAATCTCGATGGAATTTGGATCAAATATTTTATTCTGTTCCTTTAGGGTACCAACCTTTAGGGTACCAAAAATAGAAGTGGACCAAACCGAATTGAATTAAAAAATACAGTATTTTTTCGAACGGTATTATTTTTCGAAAATCGAATTTCTCATAATCGAACCGAATCTAACCGAACCGAATTTTAAAAATCTCAAAGAAGCGTTTTTGTTAAAGAAAAATATATTTATTTAATAAAAAAACCTGAAACGAACCGGACCGAAACTGAAATCGAACCGAAGCGAACATAATATAAAAACCGATTGGTATTTATTTTTGTAATTCCGAAAAAATCAAACCGATACATTCTCGTTCCAAACCCGAACCGATTCTCGAAACGCCGCCCCTAACCAAAAGTACATATTCCCATTTTCTTTGCTTTGGAAAATTTTCCTCTTCCGGTAAGGTATGTGTTTATGTGCTAAATATCTACAAGATTGATTGGTAACACAGTGAGTGAGATGGATCACCAAGTCAAGTATAAGAGAGATTTAAGCTGAGTCGAAGACATGCATATATTAACTAAAAACAAGAGATTTTTTTTTTTTTATTATAAGTTTTTAGTTTTAAGCTGGATTGGGATGGATGGATACATCTCTGTATCATAGGAGGAACAAGGAATTCTAGTGGTGTTTAGAGTTGGTCCTAGACGTCACAAATCTGAAGATAAACTCGAAAATTTACTTAAACTCTAATTAGGAAATTAAAGAATATTTAGAAATATCCATGATGGTTAAGTGGTTTGAGACATGACAAAATCATTTCAAAGTTATGTATTGGACTCCACGAATAGGAAAATGCACAGATTTATCTGTCTAAAGGTTGGGTCGAAACCCAATAAATCTATTGATTATAAAAAAAAAAAGAATATTTAGAAGATATTTTTCTCAGAACTCTTCTCCTTTATATAGTCTTCGTTTAATGGATAGGTTGTATTATCTTTATATTAATTCCCCTATGTTACAAAAAAAAATTATTATAAAACATAATTTTCTAGATTTTTATTACAATTATACAAATAGTTATTACTTTTTTTTATAAAGTTTGCTAAGAGTTAGCTATGTTGTCACTCAACCATATGGTTATTGATTTCTTGTGAATGTTCAATCCATTTGTGTTCCCGCTCTTTGGGGCATTACATTTTTCTTCCTTTTGCTTGTAACAAAGTTTCTGTCCGTTTTTGATGGTGATGTGATAGTAGAAGACAAGATAGAGGCGATGAAAATCTCCGTTGATTTGGTTGGTTTTTATGATGATTTGGTAAATAAAATGGTCCATTTATCACACTGTTTTTTTAATTAATGTATTTATTTTGTTTGCAACATGTTATTACGTCTAGTTTGTTTATTCTTCGTATATAATTGGATTGATCATATTTTTTAACATTGTATCCGAATAAAACCGGATTTAGATTTGGTTATTATTCGATTAGAATTTTAATTAGATATAATTAAAAATCGATTAAAGTTAAACAACAGTAGTGGGATTGCAGGTTATAACATGTTCAAATGCGAACACTTTATCCATGATCCTCATCTTTCAAGACCAATCATGTGGAGTAGGGATCACAATCGCGCCGACCCCGCCTACACTCGACTCGAGGATTGTAGGTTCGGATTTGGATCGGCATGATTTTTTTGGGTCTATATAACCAATCTCGAAATCCAACCCTATAAATTTTGGATTTAGATCCGGTCGGATAAATCCATTCAAATTCTTTTATATTTTTTTATTAATATTTTTTTAAAAAATTATCGGACTTTTGTACTGATCCGAAAGTCCGATTGTTTTTTGACCGAAAAATTTAGACCTAAAACGCGCTATTTTTTGGGTTAGACTGGATTGGTTTCCGAGTTTCGGGCCGAAATTGACACACCTACACCTAGGCTAGTGGGAGTGTAGGGTAATTGATTTCTAATGATTTTTGTTTGGTCTTTGTTAATGAATTTCTATTTGACAATAATATATTATCGTTGAACGATGAAAAAAAGAGAATAAAGAAAGACCGGTGAAAATAATAGAGAAAGACTAACATTCATTAAAGATGAGAAAAGTCGTACAAAAAAAATGAAAGAGACAAGCAGACTATATATATAAAGACTTTGAAACCCTAAGAGTTTTTCATATTACACTCTCCTCTCTCTCTCCTCTGTCGTGTTTTTCTCTTTGTGAGTTTTTTTTTCTTCATAAGAACACCAATTCGTGTCGGTCATTTTCTCAATGATTTGTTGAAACTGGGGATTGGTATTAACGTTTGTCCGAAACAGGAACACATTGGCTGCTTCAGTCGAAGTACCGACCTTTCAAGACCTTGTCTTTCCGTACAGCTTTCAAGAATCTTTAGACGGAGTCTTCATCAGTCCAATCGTGAAGTATACTCTCCAAAATTTAATCCATAAATTATCTCTACGATTGGACTGATGAAGATTTCGTAAAGATTCTGGGTTTTTCTTGAGTTGGGTTCAACGTAGTTCTTGAAGATCATCCCCGGGGTTGGAGCCGCGTCAAGTGATATTAGAACCTAATTTTGTAGTTTACTTCTCTCGGGTTCTGGTACCCCATCGGAGAGGGATGTCTGAAAGAAAACGCTTGTCGGCATTGGAGAAAACGCCCTAACCGACAAAGGGTCCTGCATTTGATCCAAAGAGTGCGGAGATTAGATGGGTGGGCGGCGGTTCAAGCATTAGGGTTTTATACTTCTGCTTTTACTTGTTTTTTGGACTAGACGTGGGTTGGTTGCTTGTCTTGCCCTTATACTATTTTGGTTTCTAAGCTTTGTTTTGGCGCCATATATAGAGTTCCAATTTTCAATGAACTTTTTTTTCTTATGCAAGTCTAGTTGCATTTCGAATGTTAAAAAAAAAAACAGACGATGAAGAACATCCACTAAATTTATGGTTGATCGACTTCGGGAAGGAGAAAGATTGGATCCATTCCATATATTGGGCTTTGATTTTGGGCAGCGAAAAGGTTCGTGCATAAAACGATCGTTAGGGTGGTCTAATATATAGTTTATTAAGATGGGCTAATGTTTGGAAGAAAAAAAAATATCCTTTGAAATCTAGAATTATGAATTTTTTGGTAAATAAAATATGTTTGACGAGTAGACGGAAGCTGTCCTCGGACTTTGACCTAGTAAATCGAAAAAGTATTTCGCCACGTCACTAAATTTTAAAAATATATATACACATAATCCCATACAAATATACATACATATATAACATTTATTTATTTTTTTAAAAACGCTTGTATATACATACAAAATCTCATACATACATACATACATGTGTATATATATATATATATTGTACACGTAATCTGTAAAAGATTCGTCCTAAAATCTAGAAAAAAAAATCTCGAACTGACATTTATGAAACTGCCACGATAACATGACATTTGTCAGAATTTATCGAATCGTCTTGGAACTACGATCACTCTCGCTCGTCGAGTTTAGGGATAATTTTTAAATTGGGAAATATATGTGTTAAATTTTTAATTACGGATTTTGTAAGGTACATTTCCACGAAATGTGACAATTCCGCTGAACAGTCTAATCTTAGTATATGCAATCTATAATGTATTATTCGTTTTCCCGTTGGATTTTACTATTTTGTATTCTTCCTCATCTAGTTTTGAATGATATTTTCTCTACATTCTTATAATCACGCCCATACAAAACTCGAAAACCCTTCGGATGTGACTTAAGCAGCCATTGATTTGTCACTTAGTCCTTTAACTTGTCGGGACAGACAGCTCGAATTATGACGCCACGTTGTTCACGTGATTTGCACGCGTTTGGACGTGAAATTCTTGTGTGTTTTGCTCTTTGTGATCTCAGGTGCAATAGGGAAAATTTAGTGGTAATTTAGACGTCAAAATTTAGACCTAATAACAAAAAAAAAAAAAGACTAGCATTCAGTAATTAATTAAAGACTTTGACTTTATGATTTTTTTTCCGCCACTAAAAAATCGTCAATCTAATCCTCTTCTCTCTTACAAAAGATTTTCTGCCTGTAACCTTCGAGATCGTGGCCAAATATCTTCGCTTAGTGGTAATATTCTTCTCTCCCACAAGATTTCTCTGATCGTTTTGTTCCGTTTTATTATATGCATTTTTTAAGTTCATAATTCATAACCAAGAGTTGATTTTTCCCATTACATATTGCAACTGTCGCAACAGGGGAAAACGACGTAACAAAAAGAGGAAAAGCATGATAAATTTAGTGATTAAAGGCTGAGAAGATTAAGAACGAGGACTGAATAGAAAAAAGATGAACGTTTAAGCAAAGAACATCTTTGGCTAGTATATGCCAAGATGTGTATGATAGACACGTTTTGGTAAAATGATTTCTGTATATTCATAGCAATAGAAATATTACAAATATATATAACAACTAATATGTGTGATATGGAAAGATTATATCACAAGAAAAGGAAACATAATATTTATAATGATATTTTAATAAGAAATAAAAAGTGTGAGCCGTTGAATCCTATGTATATTCTAAAATCCAACAAAGCATGGGAGATTTGGCAACGTTGTCCGGTTCGTAGGCGGCGGCATACAAGGAGGCCCAGCCGACGTACCCAAGCTCTTGATATAAGATGTTGTCCGAGAAAACCGCTTACCATGAACGTGCTTGGGATGTCGGCACTGGCAATGGTCAGGCCGCTCTCGGGGTTAGGTTCTTTACCGCAATCCGTTTTGTCTCATGCATTGTTAGAATT